ACGCACACTCCCACACACTGTTTGTATCAATGCAACAGTCCTGAGCAGTTTATGGTCTGAGCTACTTAGCAACACAAAGGAGAAAAATCCTGAATGGTGTGTTAATTCAGTGAATGCACTGAATGAGATTTTCACAGCCCCTTTAAAATGAATGGAGAGGATGTTGCTGAATGGGAGGGATGTCTGGGGTGGGGGCAATCTTACCTGCAAAGCTAAAGGAGGATACATATGGAGGGTTTACATAATTCCTCACAGGACTGATCTGCAGCCCTGGAGGATCTACTGACAGCTGCTGCAACTGAAAACCCTTCATTCATTAAGGGCACAATAACAGAGCAAACCTGAGCCCATAAAGCCCCAAGTCGGACGGTGTTTGGGATGTAGGTGGGTCAGCTTGGCCAATATCACACACACATGTCCAGCAACTGTTCAAACTTACAGCAAAGACATGAAAATTTAATTCAAACAAGCTGTCCTTAAAAATGTCTAAATATTAGTAGATCAACAGAAAATTAACCAGAAAATTTTGTAGCTGTCACTTATCAACCTAAAATGTTACCCTCAGGTTCAAGCCTCACTTCTCTGGTTTATATTATTGTGAAGTGAATAGTTTTAGGCTTTTGGGCAGATGACCTGAATGTGTTCTACTGCAGGTTTGACAACCAACACTCCCTCCTCACCCTTCCCACCTCTGACCCAGCAGCTGCTCCCCCGACAATCACCACCCTTCCCTCCAGCCCCCCACCTCTAACGATCTGTCAAAAGGATGTGCATGGTTTCTTTAAAAGACAAGAGATCGAAAGGCACCAGGCCCAGTTAGTGTGACCCCCTCCTGCTTGAAAGTGTGTGTTGATCAGCTGGCCCCCATCTTCACACTTATCTTCAACAGGTCACTGGAGCTGTGTGAAGTCCCCTCCTGCTTCAAATGCTCCACCATCATCCCAGTCCCCAAGAAAAGCTCCATCAGTGGACTGAACAACTACAGACCTGTCGCCCTGACATCTGTAGTTATGAAGTGCTTTGAAAGACTGGTGTTGGCCCACCTGAAGGACATTGTTGACTCCCTGCTAGACCCTGCAGTTTGCCTACCGGGCAAACGGGTCAGTGGATGATGCAGTGAACATGACACTGCATTACATCCTGCAACACCGCGACTCCCCAGGGACCTATGCACAGGCCCTCTTTGTGGACTTCAGCTCGGCGTTCAACACCATCATCCTGGACATCCTCCACTCCAAACTGACCCAG